TATATATAAATAAACAAACAAACACATAGACAGAAATTTCAGTTCTCCATCCCCACAATGGATTTCCATCATCTGTAAAAATGAAAGGGGCAAAAAAAAAATCAGTTTTCAATCGTCCCGATTGGGGCGAGATATTCCCGGATTTTGTCCCACTTGTCCCTTATGAGAAGAGCCGGGACACCCAAATGTCCCTCATTTGAAAAGAGCTGGCTGGGCTCACCTGCTAATGCTGTTTTTGTTTGGGAGAAGGGATACAGAGGGGCTGTTTCACAGGCTTCCTGCAACAGTAGGAGTCAGGTTGCAGTAATAAGGCTATACTGGCTGTAAAGTGCAATTTCTCAGCTTTCAGAAACTGTTACAGTAACGCAAAGCGAGTTTAAAAAACAACTTATAATCCGCAACACGCTTTGAATAAAAGTGTTAAAGTTCAGGTATATTAATTCATTGATTCAGCCATCAACCGTAATTTATTAGGATGAAAATATTTAATTATTAGATTAAAAATTACTTGGGAGATTGTTTTTTTGTGTGTGTGTGTGGGGGGGAGGGGTTTACTGTAAAAGTGAATTATCTAATCTTTAGTTGCTGTGGCCATCATTAGTGGACAAAAGGTGGACTCGTGATTTGTAGACACAGATGTGGTGTCTGTAGGGAAGATTGTATTTTCTTCTTTACCAGCTGCAGAGGATATTTTGTGATAAAAGTGCATTACATACAAAGTATATATGAATATATTTATTTATTATTCTTTTGGCTGCTCCCTTCTTCAGGGGTCACCGCAGTGAACTAACTCGTACCAAGACTTGGCACTTGTTTTTTACGCCAGATGTCCTTCCTGACACAACCACAGACCACCGAGCTACCACAGCCCTCTGTGTGGAGCAGGGAGCGGTCATCTAGGATGCCGGGGGGAGCAGATGGTGGGGGTAAGGGCCTTGTTCAAGAGCTCAGAATGGGGCAAATGAGGGTGGAAGCAGGTGTGGGTGTTTCACGTTTCCCACCCACATTTTGATGTTGTCGTTCTGGAGGGTCGAACATACACACACCTGGACCTGTCATTCTGTTTGTTTCTCCTTCCTGTTCCTCTCAAACCCAGTCGGTCGAAGCATATGGCCACTCGTCCTGAGCCTGGTTCTGCTGGAGGTTTCTTCCTGTTAAAAGGGAGTTTTTCCTTTCCACTGTTGCCAATGTGATTGCTCAGAATGGGAGACTGCAACGAAGTGAAGATTCAACACAATCTGCTGGTTTCTTTAGAGATAACTTTTACTAAATGGCTTTTTTAATGCAAGTGAATGTTTTTGTACAGAGAACTGAGACGACTTTTGTTGTGACTTGGCGCTATATAAATTCATTCAACCTTTATTTATACAGGTTAATAGTCTCATTGAGTCATGAGGACTCATTTTCAATTGAATTCAACATATAAATTCCTCATTGTTCATGCAAATTATATTTATTTGTCAGTCATTAAGATTTCATTTTATCATTATTTAATTTTTTTGTATGAAACAAATATTGGAAATAATTTTAAAGTCAGTATGATTCATCCTTTCATCGAAACGAGTGCCTCAGAACTGATTTTTTTTTTTCCAATACAGCCAAAACTGAGAAAAAGAAGGTCTTCAGAGTGCTGTTGCATCCTGGAATCTAAAATCTTTTATGGGAAATCCTAGAGAGGTGAGAACCAGATGGGGATAACACCAGAGAGCCGGCTCCCATCATTCATCATCATCACAGCTCCAAAGAAATTGAAAACAGGCCCCAAAGAAACACAAGTCCAGACACTCACAGATGAAAAGAAGGCGAACGTCCAATTAGACGCCTGGAAAACAGATTTCTCCACGCCATGCCAATAGCAGAGAAATGAAAGCAAGAGAGAAAATGGGATGGAAAAGATGGCAGAAGATATCAAAGAGTTTTGGGGCGATGGACATGTATGATATCATTTCGATTTATCAGATGTCAGTTCTTCTGGACGGATTCTTCTCTGTTGAAATGTTTCATCTTTATCTGCCTGGATTACTGAGCATGCATCAGGATATTCATCAGAGGAAAAATTGCTCTAAGAAGAAAAAATGTGTTCTATGCAACAAATACTAATGATTTTATTGTTCCAATCATCACATTTTAAATTCGGCAAATAAAATATTTTTGCCTTGTGTAAACAAAAAAGGACATCAAATGGTTTGTTTACTGTTAATTATGTGATTTAAAAAAAATTGAGTTCAACTTCATGTTGAAGAAGGCCTTGTGTATTTCTCCTTAAGATACCATTTATTTAAGAGATTTTCAGCCTTCCTACCTGATAAGAGACTCCAGGATGAGAGGAGAGGGACCTTTCTGAAACTCCAGCTCTTTGTAATGTAACGCTTTGGCGTAGGCACGACATTTGGCCGCTCTCTCTCCGAGCAGTACAATACCATTGTCGTCTCTGAGGGGTAGAGGGCCCTGGGAAAAAAAACCAGACCAAATAAAATAACCAACATAAATTTACATTGAACACATCATTTTTGATTTATACCGTCCTCAAGCAGCCAAAATCCTTTTTTTTTTTCTTGAGTATGATACACGTAAGATGTGATTTTACCGATGCCTCACAACCAGAAGTTCCTGTTAAATGTTGTATAATGACCAAACCATGACAGTCTCAGCCCTCAAAGTAACTGTGCCATTACTAAATAGCTCAACTTGTGTGGTCAAACAGAGAAGCTGAGACAAGTTCCCATCTGGAAATGCTTGCTCTATTAAGCGCGGAGTAGTTTAACAACACCCAAGTGACAGATAATTGCTATAATTTAAAAGTTCAGGCTTTCTGATCAACTTTGAACTGATTGTCAGTTCTCTGTTCAGCTGTATAATGGACTACTGAAAAGGTTATGTCATCACTTAAAAGCACAAAAATACTATTCACTTTCACTCAAGATGACTCGCGATGTATCACAGACACTAAAGCTAACACCAATATTGAAAGTGAACAAAAACATTAGAAAATCAAGTAAATATTGAGTCAACTAGCAATCAGTAACCAGCTCATCTAAATACAAACATAAAAGTTGACTCAAGTGAAGTGAACTGGTTCATGCATTTGTCACGTCTAGGCTGGACTATTGCAATGGTTTAGCTGGGTGTTCAAATACTTCTTTAAAAAGTCTCCAGTTGACCCAAAATGCTGCTGCCAGAGTCTTAACTGGAGTTAGTAGGAGAGGTCATATCTCTCCAGTTTTAGCTTCTCTCCATTGGCTCCCTGTCAAATTCAGAATATAATTCAAAATCTTACTTCTAACCTACAAAGCTCTCAACAACATAGCTCCATCTTATATTAGAGATCTTATTGTTCCATATTTTCCTAACAGAGCACTTCGCTCACAGACTGCAGGTTTACTTGCAGTTCCTAGAGTTTCCAAAAGTAGAATGGGAGGAAGATCTTTCAGTTATCAGTCTCCTCTCTTGTGGAACCAACTTCCAGTTTCTGTCCGTGAGGCTGACACATTGTCCAGTTTTAAGACTGGGCTTAAGACTTTCCTTTTTGATAAATCCTATAATTAGGGTTGGCTTGTTATGCTGCTATAGGCTTAGACTACTGGAGGACAAAATGACCTAATTTCCTTAAATGATTTATTAAAATTTATTAGTTTTCATTTGATACTATTTCTATGTTAACATGTGATTCTTGACCTGCCATTGTGTATCTATTCCTCCTTCCTGTTCCTCTCAAACTCAGCCGGTCGAAGCAGATGGACGCTTGCCCTGAGCCTGGTTCTGCTAAAGGTTTCTTCCTCATGAGGGAGGTTTTCCTTTCCACTGTCGCCTTCATGCTTGCTCAAGATGAGTCTGCGATGAAGTTAAACTCAAAGCAGTCTGCTCCTCAGATAATTAATGTTATTAACTGACTTTTTAAATATATGAATATTTCAGTTCAGTGCCGAGATGACTTCTGTTGTGACTTGGCGCTATTTAAATACACTGAATTAAATTGAATTGAAGCAGTATACATTTTTTTGAGGTGAACAAACTAAAGATGAACTAAACTGCTGCTTTTTTGTGAACTGGAGTTTAAAGAGAATCAATTCTCATTTTAAGTTTTCATGTTATGGCACGTTATGGTACAGACATAACTGGACATAAGCGTATGTCTGGTTAAATTAAGAAATACTCTGCTCCCCGCTTGCTTAAAAACTGTCCGAATGGCCTTTTTGGTCAATCAGTTTATAGTAGAACAATGTATTATTTATTTATATTTATTTTAAGAAACAAAAGTCAAGCAATTTGTGTGCCATCTTACAGTATGCTTGAAATTACAGTGCAAGTACAAATTATTAAATTTGAACAATTAGTCAAAAACAGACAAACATTAAATGCGTAGGACTTTGAAACAATAAAAAAAATGAAGGATGTTCAACCATTCAGCCTAAAAAGGACTCTGGGATTGGATGTTTACCGCCCACCTTGTCACTGTGCTCCATGAACTCTGCCAGGTTAAGCAGCGTCTGTGTGACCTCGGCAATGTCTTGAGAGGTGAGAGCCAACTCGATGCTTCGAATGAGCTCATCCTGCTGGTCTTCGCTCAGCTCAGACCAACAAGACAGAAAAGCTGCGTTGAACAGGTCTCTGTGAACCAAGGAAGCAGCATTTAAACATTAAAATAAAGATGCACAATGTATGAGATAACATTTTGTGGTAGCAGGCAACACTTTTATATCTCTGCCTGACAAGAAATTGGGAGGATTGGCATTCTCTTAGGCTGTGTATCACAGCTGAGAAGCACTGAATATCACAGAGAAGAAGAAAAAAAGAGAAGTGGGAGGAGGAAGTGTGGCAAGAAAAGTGGACATGTCAGTTATGGTGTACCTGGCAAGAGGAATATAAGTTTGTGCCAGAGACCAGCAGGATCGCAGTGCTGGGGAAGAGGACTCCTTGAGCAGAACAACACTCAAGCGCCGCAGCCACTCCAGCCAGTCATCTTTGGACACCTTTCTAGCAGCACCCCAAGCCTGCAAGAGAAGTCATTGATTTCCAAAAGCAATGAGAACTGTGTGGGAGAATCACTTTTTCCAGACTTGTGAACATTGAAACCGTTCATATAAATCAAATCCTTTTTTAAAAAAAAACCATTTTGTGACCCCATGTGCTCTAAAAGTAACCATAAGTGTTCATTGTGTTCTGCTCATTTGTTGGGTTTTTTATAATTGTAATTCATCATTGTATTGTTGATTCAAATGTCATCACCAGAAATACACTATGGGCTTGTAGTCAGATGTGTTTACCGTGTAGATTTTCAGCACCTGCAAAAACATCCGTAAACAAACTCTGGACTTTTTATAAGCAATCTTTTTCTATGAATGTGTAAATAGGAATTTCTTTTTCAAGGACCAAAAGTCTACCTACCTTCTGAAGTGCAGTAGTGCTAACGTGAAGCTTTTTCATAGGACCTGGTTCCACCGGGCCACTGACGAGAGCATCACCTTGGTTGCCCCGAGTCTGGCGATGCTGGAAGATTAAAGGGTCCTCTTCCTCTTCTGCCAGAGTATAACCCTATAACGGCCACAAACACACACATAAACTCAAAGAGGCCACACGCAAACAGCCCACACGCATGCTTACAGTTGATCAAAACACGTTTTATGAATCTTTTCCTCCCAGAAGGGACGCAGATAAACAGAACATTGTATGTCAAATGTTTGTTCCATTGCTTTCATTTTGTGTCTTGGAAACTTGTGTTTTAAACAGGAATGAACAACGCTCATGACAATGGAGACATCTAAACTAAATGTAAACCAGTATAATAAAAGTACTTACTTTCACAATGCGACATATGAGTATGTCGTATCGCTGGTGATTGACCCTGTGCTTCAGCATCACTTTGTTCACCATGGGGATGAAAATATGGTACTGTCAACACAAAGACGGGACGTTACAGTAAATAAAAATTCAACGTGTGCTTTAAGTGGTTCAGTCTAGATTCTCTTTCCTTCCACCGTAAAATAAATAACTGGGTATCAAGCATAAGCATTTAATCTCCGCAAGTCACACATCAAAAGCTTTCTTTGCATGTTTGTTGCCAAACATAGCTGGAAGGAATTCTAGTGGTTCGGAGGTTAGACCTCAAAACAATACAGGGGTGTAGAAGTAGAAGGCACACAAGGAGAGGGAGGGCTTAAATGTGACTTCATCCACTCATAAACATCACCACCCACTGGCACACAGTTCGTGACATAAGCAGTCTGGTAGGAAGTAATAGAGACCGGGGAGGGGGTGCTACAGAATTGCTGTTCATGTGAAGCCAACAGCGGGAAAACTGGTCAGCTCAGTTACAGCTACATATTAACGGGAGCTCAAAGGACAGATGTGACTACCTTTTTTCCTAACTGGAAAACGAGCGAGGACAGAGTGTCCATAGCAGTGGAACGCAGCTCGGGCGTGCTGTCAAGTGTCCTCCCGATTGGGTGTATAATACGTGATGCGTAGTCGGTGAAGTCCAGGGACTCCGTGAGCCGGTCAAGTGTCTCCAAGGCAACCCTGAGCCACATGAAAATAAATAAAAAAACAGAAAATGCTCAGCGTCACTTCAAGTATTGTAGAAGGCAGAGACGAACAAAAACATCCTAGTGAGTAAGACTATATTGGAAATAAACAAATTAATCTGATCATAGTTTTCGTTGCTGTACAAATAAGCAAGTGAAATTTCATTTATGTCTAATTAACAGATTACACTGTGAAGTAAAGTGAAATAAAGTTTTAACCTTTGCTCTAGATCTCACACTAAGACTAAGTGAGTAAAACCATGTGCAGTACTGACTTTCGGGCTGGCAGGGGCACATCTGGAGCGTCAAACAGCTTGACGATGGGAGGCAGCAACAAGTGAAGGTAGTCGTCCAGGTTAGCGCCAAACAGCTGGATGGCATTGAGTAGCTAAAAATAAATACATAAATAAAAATAAAATATACATATATTTATGCTTAATTTCACAACACATAAACCGTTCAATAAGTTTAGTTTCTTTCTAATACACTAAATCAAAATGCTTTTTAGCTTAATATGTTACCTAAACAAACAAGGTTACCAGAAACAGCTCATACCTGAGTTTTTGTAAATTTATTATAAAAGTTATCTTTGTATGTCAAAATGCAGAATTCCTACAAGAAACTATTTAAGCTGACCTGCTGGTGGGAAAATATGTTTTTTTCCTTTCCAAATATTGTAAAAAAATAAATAAACTTAAAAAAATAAACAGTTTTTGCCAAGTTATGTTCTTCATGTTGCTATATAACAACATATTAACAACTTATATGTTAACAACATATACGTGTAATATGCATGAACACCTGGAGAGCTGGTGCAGGACGAACAACCTTCACATCAACGTGAAGAAGACAAAGGAGAAGATTGTGGACTTCAGAAGGAACAAACACACCTACACCCCCCTGAACATAAGAGGATCTGCGGTGGAAGTGGTCTCCAGCTACAAGTACTTGGGTGTACACATGAATGACAACCTCAGCTGGAGCAACAACACCACCAGCCTGATCAAGAAAGCTCATCAGAGACTCTACTTCCTCAGACGGCTGAGACGAGCTGGTCTGGGAAGCTCAGTCCTCACCTCCTTCTACAGGTGTGCAGTGGAGAGCATCCTGTGCTCCAGCATCAACGTGTGGCATGGAGGCTGCACAGCTGCAGAAAGAAAAGCTTTGCAGAGAGTGGTGAAGGCTGCACAGAAATCTGTCGGAATCAGCCTCCCCACCATCACAGACATCTACACCTCCAGATGCAGGAAGAGGGCCACCTGCATCATGAAGGACCCCACTCACCCAGCACACACACTTTTTGCCCCGCTCCCCTCAGGAAAGAGGTTGAGGAGCATTAAGTGTAGAACCACCAGGAAGTAGAGTATCTGATGAGCTTTCTTGATCAGGCTGGTGGTGTTGTTGCTCCAGCTGAGGTTGTCATTCGGGTGTACACCCAAGTACTTGTAGCTGGAGACCACTTCCACCGCAGATCCTCTTATGTTCAGGGGGGGTGTAGGTGCGTTTGTTCCTTCTGAAGTCCACAATCATCTCCTTTGTGGTTATTCTCTTTGCACCAGCTCTCCAGGTGTTCCACTTCCTGCCTGTAGCTGGACTCATCATTGTTTGTGATGCATCCCATTTTCTTCAGGATTTACACAAAAAAACAATCTTCAGATGCTTTCTGCACTTGTTTTATTCCAAGTTTAGAAAAGTAATCATTGCAGGCTAGACACCAACTTAGTTGACAAGTCAGCAAATTTTGTTACTAAAAGGTAATTCGGTCAGAATAAATATTAGTAAGTAGAGATAGATTAATTTCCTATAAATTGTCTAAATGATCATTTGAACAAACTAAATAAGCAGAAACTTTTTAAAAAATCACTGTTTTTAACACGAGTCAATTTCACTAGAACTAAAAACAATCAAATGTGTCTCATGACACCTTCAAGAAACATTAGCCTAAAGTGCCTGTTATTCCAACATAGCACCAAGTTATTAGCACACAGACTGTGATCCCCCCATGTCTGGGTGTTCGAATGAGTCCCTACAAACATGAACAGGTAATATTATAAGGGGGGAGTAAAGGATCTGCAATGCATCAAGTCATAAAACTCACATATCACAAACACACGTTTCATAATAAAACTGGGACTTTGAGAAGACGTCTGCAGCGCAGTAACACCAGAAACACATACCATGACCACTGCTGCACCATCAATCCCTGTCTAAAGTTCACATGGCGAGACAGCAGGAAGCTGAGGTGAAAGTGCACAAGGATTTGTGTGCGTGCGTGCACGTGTGCGCGTGTGGTTTAGCGGGGGATGTTCAGCTGAATAGTGTCATGAAATGATGGAAGTATGTTTTTCTTTTCTTCTTTTTTGAACCAGAAAGTAACCCGACTCCCAATTCCCTCATTTTATGACCCCAATCCCATGCCTGAGATTAGACTGCAGACCCAGACCAGACTTACGGACAATCCAGACTGTGGGTTCCCAAGTTATACGACACTGTAAACATTGAGACAAAAGAACACCAAAAACGATGACTAGCTGACCATGCTGCTTATGATTCTGTCGTTGTGTTGATTAAAGGTTTAAAACAAAAATCCGACAGCGCTGGCATGAGCTGCAGAAACCAGAAAGTGTGTCAATAACAGGTTTCTGGTGTCATTGAACTGACATATTACCAGTGAAACCTGTCTGAACCTGATGAATACTGATGGAAACCCCAAAGAGAAAACAGCAGCTCAATAAGTCAGCTTTGACTTGTAAAAACGGTGGATACTTTTTAAACACCATCTGTTCTTGGCAGTATAAAGAATAAAAATAAAACCTTAAACATCATCTTGATGCTACACACTGCACATTTTATTGGTAAATGTGTAAATGCATGCAGAAATATCATGCCTACTATTTTATAGTGTTTTAGATACAGTATGTCAAATCAAGCAAAAAGTAAATCTAACTGTTATACATTATTTTATTTTTCCTTTAAATACTGTAAGTTGCATAAAATGTGTCTCAGTGGAATTAGTGCTGGAATGATTTTCATAAAATAATTGTGTGAATGTTTATGAAGCATTCTCACTACTGTGATCCATTTTTCTTCTGTACGTTTTTTCGACGCGTTTCTCATCCTGCAGTTTTCAAGCTATTTCAACGAATCATAAATCAAAACGTTCAGCTCTTCCAGGACAATCCTGCCATAACGTTTGGTATTGATGCAACTTTAGCTTTTTGAAATATTTAGCCTTTTCTGCCATTTTTTTCTCATAGAAATTAATTGAGCTCTTTTTATATCCTTCAAATCTTTAGATCTGTTTACAACCTTTTACTGCTCCTTTCACTTTTTGTTCTGGTTTAGATTCTTTCAGCTTCCTTGTGCAAATTTAACTTTTTTTTTTCCAGCTTTCAGCTGTTTTTTTCAGCAGTTTTGTGCTCCTTTCAGCTTCTTTCTGCTATTTCAGCTACTTTGTAGCTGTTTTATGCTAATGTGGCTTTTTCAGCTAATTCCATATTTTTGCACTCGTAACTTTTTCAGCCTAATTCAGCAAAAATGTGCTCTCTCCACTTCCTTCTGGTAATTTAACCTTATTTCTATTTTTAGCTGCTTTTCAGCTGTTTTTTTTTTGCTAATTTAAGCTTTTCTCAGATAATTTCTATTTTTGTGTTCATTTCTGCTTCTTTAAGCCTAATTGGGCAAACGTGCTTTCTGCTTTATTCTGCTAACTTAAGCTTGTTATACCTTTTCAGCTAAATTTTTAGGATTCTTTTGCTAATTTCAACTGTTTTCAGATTAATTTAAGTTTTTCATGGTAACTGTTGCAACTTTTAACCTAATTAACTTCTTTATGGTAATTTCAGCATGTTATGCTCCTTTCAGCTTTTTTTTTGTTGCTATTTTCAGCTACAATTTAGTTGTTTTATGTTGGGGTGCACCGATGGCCTCGATTTCCTTAATTTGGGGAAATGGGACATCGTCCGATACTTGCATGAGAAGCCGATTTTACAGATTTTTTTTGTTTTAACAACAATTGTCTGAACTTCATTTATGTTTCAGAGCACTACCTCATGGCCAGTTAAAACAAGTTTGTATTGTTTCTAGGATGTTGTTCAAGGGTATGTTTTTCAATAAAATAATTTTGGAAAATTGAAGGTGCATTATGGCCTTATAATAATAATAATAATAATAATAATAATAATAATAATAATAACAATAATAATAATAATAATAATACTTTATTTGTATAGCACCTTTCAAACAAATGTTACAAAGTGCTTCGCATTAATCAATTAAAACATCATAAATGACATCAGAAACACAAAAGTGTACCAAATCAATTAAAATAACAACATAAAAAAGAAAGAAATTCAGATATTAAAAGCCTTATAAAACAAGTAAGTTTTAACTAATGATTTAAAAGAAAATAATGAAGAGGCCTGTCTAATATATTATAACACCTGACAGTGTCGTTTATAAAACAAAATCAGAATCGGCGGGTCAGACTTTTTAGAAATCTTTGATCGGCCAGAAAACTGCAATCGGTGCACCCCTAGTTTTATGGTAAGTTTAGCCTTTTTCGCTAACTCCACATTGTTTAGCTCATTTTAGCTATTTTCACTTCCTTCTGGTAGTTTATGCTTATTTCTGCCTTTTTAGCTATTTTTTTTGCTAATTTCAGCTTTTTTTAGCTAATTTCCTAATTTATGTGCTCATTTCTGCTAATTTATACCCATTTCGGCAAAAATGTGCTCTTTCTGCTTTCTTCAGCTAATTAAGGCTTGTTCTTTCATTTCAGCTACAATTCAGCATGCGTTTAGCTCATGTCAGCAGTTTTTCAGCAAGTTCTTCAGCAACAAGCATTCACACTGCATTTTCACAGGAAATGCAGTTTCTCTAGTTATGATTTTGGCTCAAGTGAAAAAGAAAGCTGGCTTTAGGATTTAAACTAAAACCTGTTTAAATGTATAAAAGTAACACAAAGACCAACCACCGTTCAAATTAGCAACTACAAAAACAGTCTCGTTTTTATTATTATTATTGGATTTTAAATATATTGTAGCAAGTGCTTTTTTAAAATGACTTCATTAAGTTAAAAAAATAAAAATAGTTTCAGAGACTGCTGTGCACTCTGGTAGGCAAGCAGTCATGGGATATTAATTAACAAAATATGCTTTTTATTTGTTAATCCCCTGCTGTGGAGGGGATGGGGTATTTTAGACTAAACTGTAACCATGACTTCAGCTTCAGACAATTCATTTCTGCAAACTCAAAATTTATTAAACCTGAATATATTTTTGCAGTTTATTATTCTCTGCTCATAGATCCTTTTTCTGCTTTTTGATAAATGTTCATTCTACAACCATTGAAGTATACCTTTTCTAAAAAAAAACCAACCTTAATTTAAATTAAATGTCCATGTGTCACAAGTGACATCTCAACCTCTAGGCAATAAAAAAAACGAGTACACTGAGGCAGGTAACTGAAAAATTCACCGTTCAAAGTTAAAAAAAATATACATACTTTTAGAGGCATTGTTTCAATTTGATGTGGGTAATCATAGACCAGGATAAGAGGTTTTTATCCTCCAAGCAGCAAAGTAAGGCACTCACCTTGATGGTAACGCTGCGTCCAGTGCTGTTATCGTGCATGAAGACACGCAGCATATGTGGGATGAGCTGAGGCAGGTACAGCTTGAATTCTCCTCCCAAAGCCACCACAATCTGCTCTATAAGAAGGATGATGGTGTTCTGCATGGGGTTGTTTGGTGTCCAGTACTCCTACAGCACAGATCAAAATATGCTGAGATGAAAAAGAAATTCTTATGTTCTTGTTTTGTTGCATATCAGCTGCACCGAGAATTATACTGTGAGTTTACATTCATGCTGGCAAAGTGATGGAAATCAATTATCTTGAAATAACATTGTGTATTATTGAAATATTTTGAAGCAGAAATACTACCTTTTCAAGTCGTAAACAATGTATGTAAATTTATAAAAAAGTACATGGCCCAATCTCTTTCTAAATTATATAGTAATGGCTAGAAAATGACATAAAAGTGAATAACTAAGGTGACAGGCGCAATAACAAATTAACATTTATGCTAAATGTGAAAAAAGTGAAACGGTATTATGACAGGCGGCACGGTGGCACAGTTGGAAGAACTGCTGCCTCTCAGTGAGAAGGTTGCCAGTTCAATTCCCGGCCAGGGGCCTTTGTGGGTGGTTTGCATGTTCTCTCTGTGCATGCGTGGGTTTTCTCCGGCTACTCCGGTTTCCTCCCACAGACCAAAAACATGCATGTTAGGCTGATTGGTAACTCTAAATTGTCCCTAGATGAGAGAGAGTGAATGGTTGTTTGTCTCAATTGTCTCTATGTGTCCCTGTTATGGACTGGAAACCTGTCCAAGGTGTCCTCTGCCTCTCGCAGTGATAGTTGGACAGGGCACCACTGACCCCCGTAACCCGAAAAGGAAGAAGAGAGTAAAAATAATGATGGACGGACGGTATTATAACTACATCCAAGACACTTTGCACTAAACCATACGTCATCCCCCTCGCTCAAATACAAACCTGAGATTTTAAGTGGGTCTGCAGAAATAGGTCAAAATGTGTTTTCATCGATAAACTGAGTGAGAGAAACACCTGCACAGACTTTTCTGTGGAAAAACAGAACTTTCATCACACCAAATGGCAAAAAATGAAGACAATTTCCTGTTAACTGGGAGTGATTTGTTGCCTCTGTGTTTATAATAATGCAACAGAAAATCTGAGCACGGTCACTCTGCACGTTGGAAATAATAGAGAGGGTCATTAAGACGGAAGACCTGAAGTCACGAAATATGTCAATCAGTCAATGAGCTTCAGCTGTGAGATCTGGTAAAGGTGTTTTCTCGGTTTCTAGCTTCCACTCCTCTACTTCCTGCCTTCCATGCCTGTGGCAGTACATGCTAAATGGCTAAACCAGCCCCCTCATCTGGATGCAGAGGCAGAACTGGAGCAATAATGAATAGATTCTTTGTTTCACTTTCCATTTATTAAATCACAAGGGCTTGAGGCAAACGGGTCGACTTTTCTCAATTACTTACCATCAGAATGAGTTACGCCGCTGCAGAAGTTTAAGTAAGTGTGCTACAAAAAATTCCATTGCAAGAACAGCCATACGATACTGTTGCTTTAATATATTTATGTGCTAGATAAGTGTGTTTTTCAAGTTCAAGGACGATGGCTTTAGCAGCTACTTTAAATCACGTGACGAGAGTGAATGTCAAAAGGCGTCATCGGTTTCCACTTATTAAACCGGTTACAGCGAAAAGGAGACCGTTTCAGACAAGCACCAAACACTGCAATAAAAGAAAATCTAAACTGAGGGAGAGTAAAAAATGTCTTTCTAAATAAGATTTCTCATTTTGATAGGACTAAAGCATTTTGTTAGTTAAATTCAACACCACACGCGTTGTATGACATGGGACCACAATTTATCCAGATGCTCTGAACACAATACGTCTAACGGTGCTGTCCGTGCATGAATAAATCCAATTAATGGTTTGCAGCTGTTTGACTGACTCACAAGAAAATAAAAAAAGCTGCATGATGGGTGTTTAGACATTGGAAAACCATTGATGCGATTACTCACTCTGATGAGGGTGAAAATGTCATCCATGTATGGACGGATGTGAATCTTCACAAAGCTCACCACCATTCCCATTTGCTGGAAAAGGAACTGAAAGACAAGATGAGCACAAAAACCATATAATATAAAACCTGCAAACCTAAAAGCCAAAGAACAACCAACCCAGACATTCTCAGATGTATCTGTGCCTACCTCTCGGATACTGGCATCACAAACGCGGATGACGTTGAGAAAGGTGGGCATGACCTGCGGCAGGAACTGGACACACTTGAGGCCCAGAGACTTGAAGATGAACGTGACTGCCTGCACTACCATGGTATGGTGGTTGGAGAGTGAGGGGTCTCTCAGGATGCGCATCAAAGTGACGATAGCCACAGCAGGATAAAACTCATCCAGAGGAAGGTTGCCCATGTTCACCAGCATTTCACTTGTGCTGAAGTCCGCTGGGAGAAAGAGGTAAAACAAAGGAGTTCTGTTTGTTTTTTTTTCTACCAACTAATAAAACACAAAAACTTTCTTTTTTTTCATTCAACCTTTATTTGTACAGGTTAATACCACTGAGCCTCGGGGACTCATTTACAAGAAAGACCTGATTTTAACAAAAAGTGATGACAACAGTAGACCATCATAAAAAGCGTACAAACTGAAGAACAAATAAAAGAAAATGGTATTAAAAAAACAAAGCAGAAACAGCTAGGTTGTAAAGCAATGTAGAAAACTAAAACTAGGAACATGTCTGCTTTGGTTTTTGCCAGGAACTTAGATGTTTAAAGCTGCTTAGAGAGGTCAAGGTTGAGTGTTTCAGATCTTTTTGCAAGGTATTCCTGGAAACAGGAGCGGAGCAGTAATTACAGTCTTCATGTAGGTATATTCACATAGTGAACTTTCTCTGCTGTTAATATAAGCACAGGTTGACTATTATCTACAGCTATTATTAATGATAAAATCTAGAATAAAGATCTAGCATACTTCCTGCCTTCATGTCAGTGTTTTAGACAAAGATCAATTTACCTAGAGATATGGACCTGTCGCAATTTTGATCAAACCCTAAATATAATTTAAGGTGTAATTTTACAAGATACGGTCAATGGTAAATGGACTGTACTTGTATAATACCTTTCTATCTTATCAAGACATTTATCACAAGACACTTATCAAGACAAGACACTCAAAGCACTTTACAATCTGTGCCTCACTTATCCATCCACACAGCACTCTACTAAATCTCTCCAAAGCTAATTAAACAAATCATTCTAAAGAGACTAACCAGAGCTTTATCACATTCATACACTGATGGGACACACATCGGAGGCAATGAGGGGTTCAGTGTCTTGCCCAGGGACACTTCGGCACGTGACTGAAGATGGATTTGAACCCCCAACTCTTGCATTGGAGGACAACTGCTCTAACCACTCAGCTAGAGCTGCCTCTCAAATCAAAAGATTTCATCCTCAGTATGTGCCGTTACTGGTTCTCGGCTACTACCACATCATATTTTATTTTAGTATGTGTAAAACTTCCACTTTTGTGTTGGCTAATGTTGATGGGTTGTGGCAGCCATGTTTTGAACTACTTTGGCATGACTGTCTCAAAGGAGTTGACGGGAGAGAGGGCGAGCCCCAGAAGCCATTTTAGCACCAGCAAACTGGTTTTTTTTCCCACTACAGAGTATGCAGTTTGTGGGAATCAGTTTTGTTTGGTGGCTTCTCAGACTGAGGAAGTCCTTTGGATGAAGGACGAAACGTCACAGCACAAAACAAGAAACCATCCAGATGACCTGACTGAACATTGTTGGAATCTATACTTGGATTAAAGAGCATGAACTTTGGTATTTAATGTAAAAAAAACAAAAAAAAAACTTTATTTCAATGCTTAAGTTATAATATTGTGACAGTAAAACCAGACGGAGAGCTGCTGTCTATTTATATGCAGGGCTATAGAATTTTACAACGCATCTGAAAATCCAAACGTCTGGTATTAAGTGGGGTTTTTTTGCAGTGAAGTTTCAGCTGCTCCAGTTGTCTTCCCCTGAGACTCTGCAGACAGACTTGCAGATTGATTTAGACATATAAAGATAACTTTACAGAGATGTTCTTTTTCCAAACTGAACCATTTAAAAAAATAAATGATTGTGACCAAAGGCTGAACAACTGAAACTGTATAGCTCACAAAATTAAAGCAGACGTGTTGCATTAATTTAGCCTTCGGTTGGATAAGAAAGGAGCATTTTAATGGCGACAATAAGAAGCATAAAGTGTTTTGACTTTCTAAAAGGGCAGCATTTGATCAATTTTATGACCTCTTTGCTCTCCTGATGTGATCACTAAAATCTGAAGTCAAGTGAGGAAATGAACCTTTTCGCTCTCTTCTTACGTAAAAGCATGCAGTCAAAGATGCTTGTGGTCCAGACAGTGACCCTGACAAAAGCTGCCAGCAGATATCAAGCCTCAAGTTCTGGTCACAGTTCATTTAGGCCGAGAACAAACTGTTAAAATCATTACAGTAATGTTCAAGGTCATGCTTGACATAACTGGGTCAAAAATGTACACGCCTGCAGTCCGCATTCATAAGACAAAAGACAGAGGTACATTTGTACACTGTAAAAAAATATACATGTTGAAATTACATTAAAAACCTGTCACATTGCAACAGTAACAGAGCGAGAAATCCAAAACAGTACACCACCGTAGAAAATACACTGAATTACTGTACAACAAGAAACAGAAGTTTTTAATTATTTAAACGGTTATGATATGCGGGAAACAAAGAATCTTACTGTGAAAATCTTAATTGTAAAAGTTATTAAAAAATACCATAATGTCACAAGCAGGCAATTACCCTAAAATTAAAGGTACTATTCTGCCAGAACTGCAGATTTTGCTGATGGTATGTTTAAATGTATGGTATAAAACTGTTAACCACTCTGCAAAATCATAGCGAAATTTTTACAGAGCAACTAATTTAAAAATTATATATGCAACCCGGTATCACGTCAAAGCATGAAATACACCCACTTGGGTCAAAGCGTTGGGAAGAAAGGGGTGCAAAAGTAAGATTTCAAAATAGGCGAACACCCTTAGGAAGGAGCGTCTGTGAAATTTGGCAGGATGTTTACCGGGACTCCCATGAAGAACATACTAAAATTTCAGCCTCCTGGGTGAAAACGTCAGGAAGCAATGGAGGCATGGGTGTGTTTTTTAAATAACGTCAATGCCCTGACCTTTGCCCTTAGCAAGTTTGCACAGAACCATAGCTCAGAACATTGGTCAGGCACCGTGTCAGAAAGCAGTTTGAAGTTTCATCCTCCTAGGCCAAAGCATCAGTGAAATATGAAGCAAAAGGTGATATTTCAGGTCTGACCTGTGGCATCACAGCAGTCTCTCGAACAACCTTTGACCTCAGGAAGATCGTAACCTTTGTTCCCCGCCTTCCTTGTTCTCTCCTCCTCCCGGTTGTCCCCCCAGGGAGGTGCGCATGAGGAAGATGAAGATGGCCATAAATGACTTCCTGGTATGGCTGCTTGTCCTGAGCCTGGTTCTGCTGAAGGTTTCTTCCGGTTATAAGGGAGTTTTTCCTTTCCACTGTTGCCTTGTGCTAGCTCAGGATGGAAGACTACGATGGAATGAAGACTCAAAGCAAACTGCTGGCTACAATACCTTAAATAAATAATGTTACAAATTGAATTTTTGTGTATATGAATGTATTTGTTCAGTGACCTGAGATAACTTCTCTTGTGACTTAGTGCTATATAAACTGAATTGTATAGGTGGGCTGCAGTACTTATTTATTTTTTTAACCAGCCATGTTACAGGCACTGTTCAGAAAAAAAAAAACATTTACTGTAGGTATTTGTGTGTGTTACCAGTACGTATTGTAGCGTTCTGCTGTGGTTGACTACCGGTCACGTGGCCTTAGGGAGGGATTATGGGTAAAATAAATGTTCATTGTTAATCATTTTGGTTAGCTGTTTAGTATTGTTCTTTTAGTGACTGCTCTGTTCTTGTTAGCCTAGTTTAGTGTTCATTTCGTGTTAGTTTGTGTTAGGCCAATCAGTAGAGTAACCACGAGTGAGGGAGGTAGTTATCAGAAGACCTGTGGGGTTCACTCTGTCTGTGTGTGTTGAACAGCAAAATAAAGCCTGTAAAAAGCCATCTGGTGATTGATTATTGATCTACAACATGAGCTGCACATCTCTCTCAGAAGCTGTGTGCTGCCATGCTACAGTACTCAATTAAAAAATGTTAAAATCTTTCTGTGTAAATATCTAATCTATTTATGTACAATTTATTTAATTTATATATTTTACGGGGGTGCGGCTTATATTCAGATACGCTCAATAGTCTGGAAACTACAGTATATCTTTTTTAAGTTTACTGTAATCAGGTTTATATCGCAACTGTTATTTTTACAGCAATTTACCGTAAAACGTTTTACAGGATATCTGTTTTTCATAGCAATTTCTTTGCCATAAAGAACATTCTCTACTGTTAAAGTGACGGTTGCCAAAATGGCATGGTAATGCAGAGGTGTCAAACTCATTTACAAAAGGGGGCCAAAATTAAAACCTTTTTCAAACCAAGCGCAAATTTCAGAATCTACATGAACTCAAATCAGATACACAACATCTTTTCTTGGTCTCAGCAAGAGTTTGATTGGTCTCATTTGATGTTCTCTGTTGTGCTTTCGACATCATAATCAAAGATAACTGAAAAAATTCAAGAGATAGAAGTATTTTACGTTTCATATATCATCTTGAGGGCCAGATAAGATGTCAACGAGGGCCACATTTGGCCCCCGGGCCTTAAGTTTAACAATTATGCTGTAATGTGTCATACACTGTGACCACATTTTCTATGGTGAAATTCTGGCAACCGTATCTACCAGTATTTGACCATAAATTATAAGTTTTTTTTTCCGGTGTATTGCTAGTACGGATATATATTTTTTTATCATACCCACGATAAAATTTGCCTGTGAAATCTTGAATTTTGCAATTCAACAACTATCATTTTAAAACAGTGGTTCAGTTGTTTTTTTAAATCTTCCAACCCACAAAATGACACTAATAAAAACAAGTGGATCCTTCTATTGTTGGTTGAAATATACACACTTTGCTAATAACCCTATTCAACAATGGCACTGGCAACACAAGCAACATAAACTTAGACCTTATTACTGTTTTTCTTTTACATTTTATTGTTGGATGTAACTGGGACCCTGCGCACATAATCTCGTTCCACCACATGTACCACATGAGACTCTGACAATCAATCATTTACAAGATGACATCAGATCAGATGTCCCTACTTGAGATTTTATGACACATAACGGGGTCCCAACATCAACTTAGGGTACCAGTTTTAAAAAGATGTCCAGACCCATGTAAGGAGAGGGTTAGGTTGCTACGCCTCATTATCAAAATCCAGTAATAATAATAATAATAATAAATAATAATGTAAATGTGTTTACAGTAGAAACAAAAAGTACAAGAATGTGATGTTAGCGCTAGCATCAGTCAAAGCAGGACAAAATTCTGATGGGAAAAGTATAAACCTGCCACAGTAAGAAAATATCTTAGAGTTTGTGTTTGGCCACTTAGTTTATATTGTTGATTTTTCCTCCCTCATTATTTGAAATGGCAAACACATAACTACAAAATAGCCCTAAACAGTAAAACTTGTGTGATGATGAATTTAAACGTGCATGAATTGTACACATAATCGCTTCTCCTGCATAAAGTTCGTTGACATAAATCACTGAGAAGATAAAACAGGTGCTTGAACTCGATCTCAGATGGATTATCTTAAATTGTGTATGACCGCTTTAAAAATATCCCAACATCCCCCTGAGCTGGGGCAGCCTCATTTTGGATATTATTCAGCTGGGTTTAGATCCAGTAGGAGCCAGAAACAAGAGGTCAGGGACTAGAAGTTTACAAAAATTGTAAATCCATAGATTTAATTGCCGTCAACTTTTCAAAAGAAGAAGTAAGACTTTAAAAATGTGCTTCGTCTGGGCTGCATGTCAATTCCCTGCGCTCTTATTTCAGCTGCAGGTTCAGAAAACGAACCTCAGCTAAACTGTAAGTAAGTGTTCTTGGACAGATAAGATTTCACGGTTAATGCAAGCTCGCCAACTTTTCAAACTGAAGACAATAGCAGACATTCTGTAACGCAATTATATTTTGACCTATGACGAACTGCGGTTCACAAAATAAAACCTCATCACAATCATTCAATAATTGCCTGACTGCAGTCATCTGAGCTCAACGCTGCGCCCAATCAATCATCTTTAGATTTCATTTCTACAATTTCCCTTCATATCTATAAAATCAGTTGGGTGAAAGTGACTGAAACGTAATTTTATTTATTACACTTCCACAATGCGTTCCATTACCTACTGTAGCTCTTTTAATCACATCATGGTGGTGTGCACTTGTGATGTAGTTTTGTGGCACCTGAGAGAATTAGCATGACTAACAGTCTGTGTTGAGGGGCTTAAATTTTTGTGTTCTAACAAGCATCTGTCAAGAATAGCGTAAATAATTTAGCAGCAAAGCCAAACACCTCAACACTGCTATGAGCAAACTGTGTTTAATTAAGGAATCGTTTCAAAAGAGAAATGGATAAAGTGGAGTACAGTAGTCCCTCGTTTATCGCAGGGGGTTGGGACCAGCACCACCCCCATGATAAGCGAAAAACCACAAAGTAGGGAAACAGTAGTACAAGTTCAAGTAAACTTTATTGACATGAGGTGGAATGAAATTATGTACACAAGTAGTAGTAGTAAGTAGTAGTTTATTTTAGTATTTATAGGCGTTTTAAACCCTTCCCACACTCTTGCAATGTCTAACAATATTCTAAACTCTAAATGCTCTAAAAGAGCACAGCATGTCATGATCTCAGCTGCCTCCTCTGCTCTCTGCCACTTCCAGCGCTCTCGGCCACGCCCACTTCTCTGCTGCAGAGCGGAAATCGGGCATGCTGCAGGAGGAAGCGTCTCCTGCAGCTGTGGGCTGCACACAGGTGCAGGAGGAAGCGTCTCCTGCAGCTGTGGGCTGCACACAGGTGCAGCAGGTGCTAAATCATTTAAAATAATTTATTTTAAATAAAAATTCTATGTCGATCGTGCGGCTCATCCATCAATCAGCCAATTGTGTGTCACGTCCAGTCTTACTTTGAAAAACCGCGATAGAGCGAGTCCGCGAAAAACAAACCGCGAAATAGCGAGGGACTACTGTAATTTTTTTTATTATTATTATATTTCCTGCAGAGGTAGCAGTTTAAAATTGCAATACCGGTAATTGTTTTTATAGGGAGAGTTTTAGTTATTGTAAATACAACAACATCCAATGGCATTTGTGTTTAAAGCCTACAAGGAAAATTTTTTTTTTACATGCAATTGTATCGTTTCCTTGAGTCTAACTGTGTATATATGGATGCTTTAAAAAGTTTCACCATATTATTCAATATACTGAATATTTAAATGGATCCAAGTGGTGCAAAAAAGATAAAAAGAAGTGTCACAATAAATTCCAAACTTACCTGTTTTGTACTAAAATTATGATGCTGTTGTAAATTTGAGAAATGCACCGACGAGTTAATTAAATCTAACATGTCTCTATTAAATAATTATTATATTATGGTATAAATAGTGGTATAAATAGCATTAATTACCTGAGTCTTGACTGGACTTCGACTCAGACAAACTGACAGCAGAAGCATCTCGGGACTGGTCAATCATGCCGATGTTCACCTTGTGCTTGTAGGGATCCAGAGCACCAAGAAGACCCAGAACACGTATGGCCTGTTGGACAGCGGACCACATCCTTTGGTTATGTTCTGTATGACCTCCTACAATAACACTGTTCAAGGGACAGTTACTAAAATCAAATTTTATGTTGTTACATGTACAGAAAACTATCTGGATGTAACTAAAAAGGAAGACGGTAGTCATTTATCGTGGGGGATCCATACCCTGAAGACCCTCGATAAGTGAAAAATCGCAAAGTAGGACTAGTAGTACAAGTAGTAAGTAGTAGTTTATTTATTTATACATTTATAGTTTATTTATTTATTTAGTTTATTCAGTTTATATATACACACACACACACACACATAAAGGCGTTTTAAACCCTTCCCACATTCTTGCAATTTTCTAAACAATGTTTTTAAACTCAATGCTTTAAAAGAGCACAGAATGTCATGATTTCCCTCTCTCTGCCTCCACTGCTCTTAGCCACCTGCAACTCTTGGCCACGCCCACTTCTCAGCTCTGCATGGAGAACAGCTGATCAGCTGCAGCAGGAAGTTTATCCTGCAGTGTGGGCTGCTAAATAATTTTAAATGATTTATTTTAAATAAAAATTCCATGCTGATCGTGTGGCTCATCCATCAATCAGCCCATTATGTGTCATGTCCAATCTTATTTTGAAAAACCGCGATAGGGCGAGTCCGTGATAAACGAACCACGAAGTAGCGAGGGACTACTGTAATAAAAAATATGCTAGTTTGTTAGAAAATCCTTCTGAATCTGCAAAGTAAATGTAATTTCTTCTGTGTTCTCCACATACATACATCACTCTGGTTTATCATCATTTTAGTAATAATATAATTATTTTGCAACATAAAATGGTATCAGCAACAGGGAAATGCTTTCTTTTTAACAAGGCTTTCACATCTTCAAGCTACACCTTATTCTACTGTATTAAAGCAGCATGATGCAGTGAGACCACGCACTCTTTGTGTGAGTAGACAGAAGAAACTATGACAAATATGGTCTAAATCACAACTCAAGACCTTTAAAATGACATGGAAAAGCCTACATAATGAAGAATTAAATGTGCATAGCTTTACACTGTTACATCGTTGCATTTAAACAGCTCTCACTGATCTTTGGATGCTGACAGGTATTGTTCCCGTCCTTGTAAAAAGTCTTTACTCACAGTTGAACTTGGTTTACATCATCAGGGACAACAAAGAGAGAGGAGCCAAACATGCAGCCAGGCCCTGTTCATACCTCTCTCCTGATACCCTGGTTTTGTTCCGTTTTGAGGAAGTTGAGCAGCACATCTAGAAGGGAAGGGTATTTGCGGTAGGGCTCCACCACATAGCCTGTACTAGCCACCTGCTGGCCGAGAGTCCAAAGCGCCACCTGGAGGAAAATGGCACAAAAAGCAGAACGTCAAAAACAGAGAATCATAGAGGTGTAACATTTCAGAAGCAATTGTAATAAACTATTCATTCAACAAGCATCTGTGCATTTTAAAAAATACTACAAAAATATTTATGGGTTAACAAATGAAATCTGATATTAGATTTCTCCGTACCTGTCGTTTAGCCAAGGAAGAAGAGTCCTGCAGCATGTCCATGATGATGGGGAACAGCTCATCCATCCACTTCCTCATCTCCAGCCCACTCACCTGACGGGCCAGGTACACAACCAACAAAGTCAAATGACCAACACCTCCCAAAGAATCAAAGTCCTCTCAACAGAATCTTACAAAACTAAAAAAAAACGGATTATTTGCTAAGAAATCTGTGACGTTACCGTTCTGTTTCTCACAAAGTCATAATTGTTTCAAGATTGCTAAAACAAACACCGCAATATAATAAAGCTACAAATCATATCTGTAATGTTTGTGTTACCAAAGTAACTGAAGTATTTTAATGTGTTTGTATAAAATGAAGGTGTTATTAGAACATTTGATTTAAAACAAAACTGAGTTATTGCTGCTAGGCCTGTCACGATAACAAATTTTGCTGGGTGATAAATTGTCTCAGAAATTATTGCGATAAACGATAATATTGTTTGAAATTTGACAATAATTATTAATTATTGTCAAATTTAAGAAATATTGATTTGTTTTGAGTGTAGTACCGTTTTTGGCCACTGTATGGCAGTATAAGACTGTTTGAACTGAACAATGCATAGTGAGGGAGCAAGCAGCGTGTCTCTAAGAAAAATGGGAGGGAAGCCCCATGACGTGACATGGGCTGTCTCCTTTTTTTCCATTTCTCAAAATGGTGGATGCTCGGTGTGGTTTGAGCTCTTTAGCATAGCATTTTTCACACAAAGCTTTTAATTAAAAAATAAAATAAAAATCAGTAAACAAGTTCTCGGCTTCTTTTCGCAGAGAAAAATAACTTTTTACACGAAGGCACAGGTTTCAACTGTGAATTTTGGAGCTTCGATTTAATTTCCCTCTGGGATTAATAAAGTATTTTTTAATTGAATTGACAAGACTGAGGTTTCCCCCCAAAACACGATTTTGGATGGTTAAAATGGATTTTAAAGAGAAAAGGGGGGGTCAGTGAAGAGCACGGGAGTTGAGCCTTTTGTCATCCAGTGTCTTCAGTAGAACGAGAGACACACGAAGAAACGATAAAGCCGATAAATAAAAATGAGGTTGATAATTTTCATTTATCATGCGATTAATTGATTTATTGCTTATCGTGACAGGATTAATTGCTGCTTGTGTGTAGAAAATCTGTAAAAACTTCTAGATGTTTAAATGCAACTGCATCTTGTGCTCAACACCTGCCATCAATTATGTTAAAAAAAAAAAGTTTTTTTTAATTGAAAATGCAAACTGACATTGCAATCAATGCCTATTACAAATTCCCTACATTGTCTTGCATCTTCTTGGTGTGTTGACTCGTCAACATCTGCACCTCTGCCTCCTCCTGCCCTGAGTCAGCTGTGTACACTCCGTATACCTGAGCATCTCCTGCACTCTGTCTGCACTGCACTGTATGCTTGTCTTTAACTGTTCTTTTCTGACTTCTTTGTGGGAACCATTTAACCACCTAGACAGGATGGAGCAAGGCAAACAGACATGAGAGGGGAGCAAACTATTTACTCAATACTTGGGAGGGGAGATGATCTCATACTGCGTCATGTGTGTTAAAACTAAGACAACGCAATCAACAAAAATGTTAAATGCAATAATTTAGCTAACCAGCTAAAACGAACGCGTAAAAAAAAAAATTACAAAACAGTTTACCTGAGCCAACTCGCCAATTGTTGCAAGGACGCAGATCACCACTCCAGGGTTTGGATCCGGGTCTTTAAGTTTGAGAATGAGAGCCTGCAAATTAAAAAAGTAAGTTAGTCCCTAAGCTAAAGCCTCGTTTCTCATATAAAAATCAGAAAAACACTTTATTTAAGATTCTGATTAAATTAGGTTGCAATAAACTTGGATATTTACTTGTGTGTGTGGCGTTTGTTGATTTTAAAACCTCTTCTCAAGATAAAAAGTGTGGTCTACAGTCAAAGACATATGGAGAACTTGAAGAATTTTACCTTAAGGATGGGTTCCATGTATGGACGGATGAGGCGGGGGGCGTTGGAGACCAGGTGACCGAGCATACGAGCACTCTGCTCTTTGTTTCTGCCAACGCCACTGTGCTCCAATTCTGTTAAAATCTACAAAATAAAAAGAATCATAAAGCCCTCAGTGACCTTTATGGGCAAAATATGGTGCACATTATGGTGTTAATGGGTGAAGCTTAATAAATGTATGTTGTGCCGCAAAATTTTTTTTGAAGTTTGTTCCAAGACAAGTGCTTTGCTGCCCTCTATAGGTCGTCAGGCGCAACAACATTCAATAGTTCATAGAAATGATGTTAAAAAAAAGGTTGTAATCTCAATCATCCAGGTAAATAACAACAACAAATGTTAAATCATGTCATCTGGACCAGTTTCTTTGATCATAGAAAATACTTCAAATTTAAACTTTTATTTTCAATTGAAATTATTAGTTAGTTTCTTAGGTAAAACTGAAAAAAATCAAAGAACCATACATACTGTTTAGGTAAGTTAATTCAAATGTATGCAACATGCTGCTGTTGTTCGGCGTATTGTTTCGTTTCATTGTATTCTTAGTTTTGTGTATTTCTTAGTTTACATCTTAGATTCTTATTACCGTTTCTTTTACAATTCTTCCTGTTGTTGGATGTAATTGGGACCCCGTGTACACAATTTGGTTCCACCTGATGTGATGTACCACATGCGATGCAAATGATAATAAAGAACCTTGAATGTATGCCTTAGTAAATATAATTTTAATGGCTTCTATTGCAGTTGAAGACACTAATTCAGTAATAGCTACCCATCTGCGGGGCCTCTCCTACCTGGATTAGCATCTTGCGAAGGAAAGGCATGACAAAAGCGGGGTTCATGCTGCTGAGGCGTCCTATTGTGCAGATGGCCAGTTCTCTGATCTCGAACACCTCATCGTTCAGTGCAACAAACAACGCCTGCAAATTCTCAGCCTGGGCAAGGTGTGCATCAAAACGCTCATCAAGAGACGCGAGGACACAGTATCGAATATCAGGGTCTGAGGAGGAAAGAAAAATAAGAAATGGTCCTATGATAATTAACACTACCCTATGACTGCATCAGAGTGGGTTTAGATTGTACATTCCAGATTGTAAATTGTCAATCTACACAGTCTAACCACAACAAGCTTCACCTGGATCAGTGATGCCAACAACTAGCAGCTTGCTGAGCACATCTGCGACCACCTGAACAGCGGTCTGGCTGACAACATGGCCGCTGATCAAATGAATGGAGGGCGTGAGGAGACGTGAGCAGGTCCGGGCGGCCTCCATTCGGATTTCTTTATGTTCACTGTTCAGAAAGTGATCCGCACAGTGGCGCACAAATTGGGTCAGGGAGTGTCCTGGAGGAAAAACAAAACATTAAAATACTGTTTAAATTAGAAATACCACTTGGTTAGTTATACATCATGATTAAATTAATGTCCAAAGTTAGAGTTATTATTGTCTTAATTCATTCTCTGTTTCCTGGTCCAGTTTGTATGTTCTATTCGTGCATGTGTGGGTTTTCTTCAGATACTCCGGTTTCCTCCCACAGACCCAAAACATGCATGCTAGGTTGATTAGTAACTCTAAAAATTGTCCATAGTTGTGAGTGAGAGAGTGAATTTTGTCTCGTTTGTCTCTGTGTCCCTGTGGACTGGAGACCTGTCCAGGGTGTCCCCCGCCTCTCACACAGTGGCTGCTGGACGTGGGCACCAGTGATTCCCAGGAACCCGAAAAGGAAGAAGCAGGTAAAGATGATGGATGAATGGGCGTTTGTATCTCACTTTCTGTGAACATACTGGACGCCAGAGAACTTTTTTATTCAAATTAGTCTTTTAGAACATTTAGTACACCAGCTGTTTGGAATACAAATGTGACAATACATGAAACTGGTTGGTCTGGACAAAGAGAAATGTAAAAAATATAGATAAGGTGAATTTATCTGCACAATGTAATGTGTACACAAGTAATTTTAGGTCAGGTAAGATTAAAATCATCTAGTTAGCTGCAGATTTAGAAAATAATCGACATTACCTCAGATGAAAAGCCACACAACATATTAACATTGTCACTATTTACCATAAGCTAAACTCAAATGAGGAAGCAATGTGTAAAAAAAACACAGTGCAAACTTGCTGCTTTCATTAAAAAAAATGAAGAGTTCTGCTGCTTATCAAATGCAGCTGATTAACTGATTATCATCATTTGTGACCATGTTTATAAAGAGGAGAACCTTTGGTCTGGAGCATTCAGGTGTGTCACATGAAGAAAATTAATTAGTAGCTAGAGAAATTGCATTTCCTGCAAAAATGCAGTGTGAATGCTTATTGCAGAAGAATTTGCTGAAAAACAGCTGTAAATAGCTAAAAAAAAAATATAAAAAGCTGAAATTAGCTGAAAAAAAGTTTAAATTTACACAAGGAAGCTGAAAGAAGCTGAACCAGAACAAAATGTGAAATACACAGTAAAAAGTTGTAAACAGATCTAAAGCTCAATTTATTTTCTATGAGAAAAAAGTGGCAGAAAAGGCTAAATATTTCAAAAAGCTAAAGTTGCACCAACACCAAACGTCAAAGCACCCTTCTCCTGAAAGAGCTGAACGTTTTGATTTAGGATTTGTTGAAATTGCACTAAAATTGTGGCAAGAGAAAGAGGCCGAAAAACGTGCGGAAGAAAAATGGATCACAATAGTGATAAAGATTCACACAATAAACTTGGGCGATGAAACAGTTGTGTCACTCTAGAAAGTTTTTAGATAGGGATGCACCACATTTAAAAAAAATTATCAATATCTCAATATTATCATGTGCAGCAACAATTTAACAAAGGACTCATAAAAAAATGCCAGGCACAAACAGAATGCAAAAAAAAATAAATGTGTCCGTTAGATTAGGCCCACTCTTGTAAATGGAGTGTTGTGAACACTGTGATGACAGAACATGAGAGTTTATCATGACTGCAACATTCTACAGTAATATCACAATTTCATGTTTTCTTAACATTGTGCAGGCCTAGTTATAAGCCCTTTCTAAAGATATTTAGAACCATAATCCCTCTGTTTACAAAGAATTTTCACAAAATGACAAAAAGCAAGTCAGTTGCCAATATTCTGAGGAGCAAACAGCAGCAAGTTCAGCTTAGTTTAGACCAAGAAATGCTAAAAATCCCCAAAACTAAGTCTGAGACTTGCCAGGGCTGTCAACATGTTAAATGTTGTTCAAGACAACAATAAAAAAATAAATAAATAAAATGATGGGTTTGCTTGTTTTAGATGTAAGGTGACTGAGTGTTCTGAAAGGTGCACACAAATAAAATGCATCATAACTCTGTTTTGTTTTAAATCTCTTACCTTCAAATTCAAAGCTTCCTAGCGTGCGCAAAGCCAGGGTGATGCTGCCAACATCACTGGCCTCTGGAATGTTTGTGAGGCTCGGTGAGGCGAGCTGGTGAGCCAGGCCTTTGGGCATTCCTGGGTGTCGCAGAGGCTTGTGCATCAACACCAAGGAAAGCATCTTCAGCAAACCATCCTGGATGTCTTTTTTCAACAGGGGGATTTGACGGCTCAGGTCATAAAGAACTGCTGTAAGTGCAGGACTAGACAAAAAGCAAGGAAGAAACAACCATCAGCATCTGTGAGATTATATTTTCTTACTCCAAACCTAAAATCGAAAAGTGTGCAGTCCTTTGAAATGTTAAGGAGCTGCCTGTCTGTCCTACCTGAGGCCCACAGCCAGCATAGGCTCCAGAAGCTCCTTGACGTCTGGCTGGATGCTGGGACCCATGGCTCTAGAAAGCATGCTGATACAAGTGAACACTGTGGCGTCCACCTGCATGGTCTTCTGTCTCCTGAACACATTCAACAGCAAAAGAACAAAACAATATTTATTTCTCGTCAAGATAGAAACCCAGTCATTTTTAACAAACCTCAGCTTATAACATGAATATGATGCAATCTAAGAAGTATGGCGAACAATTTTAATATACTGACTTGTGTGCAAAGTCCTTGGGTGGCAGGGCAGCTTTGATGATCTCAAGGATCTTCATGAGATACGGCTGGATTTCTGTCCTGACAGCCACTACCAGCAGCCCCAAAGCCTGGAAAGCTGCTGTCCTCTCCTTCTCCTTCTTCAGACAGCCCAGCAGATACCCCATCGTGTCCGATAAGTACTGATCTGTCCAGCAAAGAGGCAGAAAAAACAACAACACTCATCTCACTAATTGGACTTTTTATAGGATCAAAACATAAACAAAAGGCATCATTACTACAAAAGCCTATTTCTAAAGTGCACAACAATACTGTACATAACTTTAACATGTTCAAATAGAATCAGCTGAAAGTCTGACCTGTAAATGTGTGTGGCTGGAATGCAGCTAAGCGTGGAAGCAGGTTGAGAATGGTCATCTGGATCAAAGGGTTTTTACAGGTTTTGTATTTCAGGACCCACCGACACACCTGGTTGGACAAAAGTTTTAAAGAAAATTAAAAAAACATACATTTTGTAAATAAAAGCAGCATCAGCCTTGTGTTGCAAAGTTGTGGGAATGAGCCAGAATAACCTTTATAATAAAACTGTTGTAATGTCAGAAAAACTAAAAAAAGTAGTCGAACACAGTGGTCCCCAAACCAGCGAGCCGTGGGCCAGTACCGGTCTGTGGGTCAATTGGTACCGGGCTGCACAAAAAATAATAATAATACATTTATTTTGAAAAATCACAGGATTCTCTCCACCACATCTGTCAGTAGCTATGTAAACGCCCCATTCAGATTATTCTGAGCTGATTCAGCTCAATCCAAGTGAATATGTAATCTGAAAGCTATGTTTACACACACAAAATTCTTTGACCGGATTGAAATGTTTTCAGCTTAAATAATTCAAATGTATTGTTTACATGGGCACAATCCATTCCCGACGAGTGTTTACATGCAGCGGGTTTTATTCTGAACAGAAGTACTGACACGGGCAGAGTGGTAAACTCGCCTAAAAGAAAACACCAAAGTAGTAGTTCTACTTCCGGTTTACTTCCGGGATGAACGTAAACAAATCTGAGCGCCCAAAATGGACCCGCGACAGGTTTTAATGACGGTGGAGACGTTACTGCGCTCCCTGAATGAGCTACAGGTAATACAGATTATTTTGAGCTTTTTCAAAGTTTCTAGTAGAAATGTTGTCGCTCACCGACCAGTTTTACTTCCCTGACATGCTAATATTATTAGCATTAGCCAGGCGGAAATGACACAGGTCGCACATGTGCAGTCAGGCCAGTTTTATACAATCGGGAAAAAAAAATGAACAGATTAAGTGTTAACATGCACAACGCTCGGATTAAGAATCAGCATAAGCCACCCATCTCATTCTGAATACGTATTCTTTCGGATTGAGCCGAATCAACAAAAAATAATCCGAATGGGGCGTTTACATGACGCATTTTTATTCCAAATGGCCGTTTAATCTGATTACTTATGTCCATGTAAACGTAGCTAATTAGAGGAGTGGTTTATGCCGATCCATAATTCGAACAGTGTGCATGTAAACACTTAATCTGATTATTTTATTCCAATTGTGCAAAACTGACCTGACTGAGCATGTGCGACCTATGTCAACCTCACGTATTTCTGCCTGGCTAGATGCCAATATGTCGGGGAAGCAAAATTGGTCGGTGTGCGACACATTTCTACTAGAAACTTTGAAAGAGCTCAAAATTACGCCTTGATGGTCGAAAGTGTAGGAACACGGAGGTGTTTAGACAAGTACATGAAAAGCTGGACGGAGCCGGAAGCTGCATCACCAAAGTAGAACTTCTTCTTCTGTGGTTGTTTTAAGGAGAGTTTACCACTCTGCATGTCAGTACTTCTGTTCAGAACAAAGCCCGCTGCACGTAAACGCTCGCCATGACCAGACTATGTCCATGTAAATGATACATTCGGATTATTTAATCTGAATACATTTCAATCGGATCAAAGAATTTTGCGCATGTAAACATCCCTCACTCTTGACGCAGGTCAACATACACAGGTAGCTAGTTTCAGTTTCCATTAGGCACGCGTGGTAAACACGGAGAACACGGAGCTGCGTGGTCAGGAGAGACAGGAGGAGGCGCGCGGACATATCTGCAGTAACTCTCAGGCTAACTAATAATAAAGTCATGAACAAATATGACTGCCTTAGATGAAAAGCTCCTCGGATGAGAAGCGAAACATCTTCAGTTACAAATAAAGTCCAATTGTTTTGTTTTTAACCCTTTTTTTTTTTTTTTGGAATAGCTGGAGAAGAACAGGTTTTTTTTAATCTTATATATCAGAACACCAAATTGTATTTTGTATAAAACTGCATTTAATTTGCAGTCAAATGCAGAATTTTGTTCAAGACACCATTTTTTAAAACAAGACATTTTTATCCCAGAAAAGGAGCAGCAGAGTTCTGACTCCTCATAGAAACAAAACTTTCAGTTTTCATAACATTTTGCATTCTGAAAAATAAAAAACGCTGCGAGTCCCACCTGGTCGAACCTCTCCTCCATCAGCTCGCGGCAGTATCTACTCTCCACCAGGGAGCTCTTGGCAGGTACCGGTGTGGCTCCAAAACTGAGGAAGCCTTGAGGCGTGCTGTAGCCCAACAATCCCAGGAGGGCGTTTGACTGCTGGGGCTGCACGGACTGGAAGCTGGTGAAGGGTGTAATATGACGGGGCCTGGTTCCAAATCCCATCAGTTCCTTGCAGTATTTATCATGGACCTGCTGCTGCTGTGTGATCTCCTCCATCTCCTCACGCATACGCTGGAAACACATAAAACAGTGAGCCGAATGTTTAGCTGGCTTCTTGACGTGAATAAATATTCAGAGTGAAATCAGAAGTCACCTCTCCCTCCATGCTGCTGATTCGAACCAGCTCATTAAGGATCAGAAGCGCTCCATGGACCCGATCGTCACGATTCATCCCTTTCTCTTTGGCCAAAGTCTCATCGAAGCCTTTCTCTGCCTCCTCAAAGGTTTGCTGTTTCACAAACACTTAAGTCATGTGGCTAAACACAAAAAACGGTATTTCAACTATTTTCACGGCAAGTATATAATACAAAGAGGGATAATTATTTCATAACTAAAATACTGCCTTCCCAGCCACGTCTCCCTTCAAAAAGAGAGTTTTAATCCAAACAAAATAAAGGACATATACTATAATAACAGAATATAGTTGAGTGGCTTACTTTGTACCACTGTGGTTTCTGCATCTCTTTGGTCTCCCTCTGTGTGGTGAGGATAAGACAAGCTCGCAGAGCAGACACCGCACCTTCTCGAATGGCCTGCTTAGGATCCCACACTGCATAAAAGACGTTGTCAAAAAACGGCTGCACTTGCTGGAAAAAGAAGGTGGGCGCACTCACAGCCAGTTCCCTCAACACCAACACCTAGAGGAGACAAAAACCCACCATCATCATCATCGCTGATGATCGTTCCCTCGAGTTTTACAATAACATACAAGTAGTCCTGTCATGATAACAAATTTTGCTGGGCGACTGTCTCAGAAATTATCGCGATAAACGATTATATTGTTTGAAATTTGACAATAATTAGTCATTATTGTCAAATTTAATAAGAAATGTTGGTTAATTTTGTGTGTAGTACCTTTTTTGACCACCATATAGCAGTATAGGATTGTTTGAACTGAAGGATGGATAGTGAGGGAGCGAGCAGCGCGTCTCTTAAAGAAAAATGTGAGGGAGGCCCCTTGACGTGACATGGACTGTCTCTCTGTGGTTCTCAAAATGGTGGACGCTCGGTGTGATTTGAGCTCTTTAGCATAACATTTTTCACACAAAGCTTTTAATTAAAAATCAGTAAACAAGTTCTCAGCTTCTTTTTGCAGAGAAAAAACAACTTTTTACACGAAGGCACAGGTTTCAACTGTGAATTTTGGAGCTTCGACAAGACGGGGGTTTTTCCTGAAGTCGGCCTGTCAGCTTAGCTCGTAGCTTAGCTTCTCAGCTTAGCTGCTTTTAACGATCCAAAAACACGATTTTGGATCGTTAAAACAGATTTTAAAGAGAAAAGAGATTGGGAGGGGTCAGTGAAGAGCCTTTTGTCATCCAGTGTCCAGTAGAAAGAGAGAGTTGCGAAGAAACGATAAAGCCGATACATGAAAATGAGGTCGATAATTTTCATTTATCATGCGATTCATTGATTTATTGTTTATTGCGACAGGCCTAAATACAAGTTACTAATCAATTTACAAGCTACTCGTAATACATTAGCAGTTAAACTATATCTAAGGACTAAAACTGTGAAAAGTGTTTAAATAATGAATGCTACTAACAAAAACTAAAAATGAAGACATGTGCCACAATAGTCAAACATCTATCAACAGTTTTCTAATGTTCTAAAATACATACAGTGCTATGTGGTCATCAGAAAGAGATTATAATTTACCCTCGTGTCCACCACCATGTGTAAGAGTGATAGTATTTGAACAAACACCACAGTCAGCGTTAACTGCTAGTAACTTACTGCTGCGTGGCGTCTGCCTTCATTTCTGTCCGCTCCCAGCCACTCCAGAGCCCTCTTCACCTCAAACTCCACATACTCAGCAGTGAACGTGTCTCCAGCCATGGACAAGTGGCCCATGGCTTTAGAGGCCATCTCCATCACCACTGGGTCGCTGGAGGGGAGCAGGTTGCGGAGGTAGTTAGCGAATCGGCTGATCCTGGTGGCATTTCCCCCCTCCACTCCAATCAGACTCACTGGAATGAAGACATAACGATGATATATTTTACAAACAAAAGCTGTGGTGCGTTATGCATATTGATAATGGTTGAAGCTTACCTATAGCGAGGATGCCGCCTTTCTTCTCATTCACATCAGAGCTGGATACCAGCTCAAATATGTGGTGGTTTAACTCATCATAGAATGTAGTGGATTCATCTTGGCTTAACTGCGACACATAAACAGAGTCACTAATGCACACCAGAAACAAATGAGACGTCTAAAACAATAATAGGCTTTGCTGATTATCTGCAGGATTTAAAACCAAACTGTTGTGCTGTTCGTGTCAACATCTGTATCTGATTACTCCCCCATTCTTGTGATCAACACTGAACATTTAATGTGCAGTATGTTAAGAGATGTCTTGTATATTAACCACAGTTCCTCTCACAGTTGTTTTCTCATACCTCTCTCAGTTCTGTGGTCACATAGTGCTGCAGATCTTTGGCAGATTTTGCTCTGGTGTCTTCATTCCGGCTCTTGAGCCCACTGACAAACTGCTGCAGCACTGTAGCTGTGCCTGATATGACCACCATGGTCTAATCTGTAAAGAATTAGGTGACATTTCCAGAAAAATATTCCAGTTAACTGAAAAACATCTTAAACGGAAATAACGACACATGAAAGGGAGACTGAGTTGGGTCAATAACGCTGAAAGTCAATGTTGTCTAAGCTAGCAGCCGGCTAACGCATCTAGTTAACGAGTGAAATAAACCAACTAAAGTCATCCCAAGCAAAAACTTTAAACGAAACAAAACACTACAGCTCCTTGCATTACAAGTCTGACACGTTCATGTTGTTTTTAAGGCTCAGAATCATAAACCATGCTTGTGTTTAGCTAATGTAAGCTAACGCTAAAGTTAGCTTTTGTAGCCTACTAGCAAACTAGAAACATTGCATACTTACGCGTTTATAATAATATTCCGGACTCTTAACTGGTAATGTGCTCAATTTCTGTCATTGCACGACAGCCTGGCTTGTACAGCTCAAGGTGCTAGCTGTGGAATGCTTTGGTTGGATCGAGTTCAGAGCTGGAGCACACAGGAATCCCCCAGAGCCAGGGTTCAACTGCGCAGCCGCGGACTCACTGCGCAGAACCCGCGCAACTCGGATGTTCTTGATGTCACACAAACACAACGCTCAACAAAAGAACTTGTAACAAACAACAAAAACAAATACAAACACGGAGACAGTAAAGACAACAGAGTGAGGAAACGTGGTCAGTCGGGTCAAGGGTTAAAATAATTGCCAAACATTGTTGTGCTTTTTTTTTTCTTCTTCTTCTTTTTAAGATAGATAATCCGTAAAGTCCTTAATTTTTAAATTAGGAAATAAATATTGAATAGAAGAACTGTTTGCTATTTTTTCCATTAGCTTCTCTGACATGCTTCTTTAATAATCATTCGTATTTTGGTCATTTAAATTTAATATTCTTGTTTTTATTTTTATTTTTTCTACCCACACAGTGGTAGGAATCATTTTCAGCCACAAGGGGGAGCCATTGTTCAAGTTTATCTACATGACCAGTCTGAAGTTCTAACCACTGAGCCTCAGCCACCCAGATGAAAGTCATATTTATCTTAACGTGAGGACATTATTGCTTCATTCAAAGGTAGTTAGCACGATGTCTGCTACTAAATTTTGCCTAATTGATGTTATACTAAAGACGGGCCTGCTGCTCAGGCAGGTGGGCAGACACTTTCAGACCTGGTCTGCAGCCAGGTTGGGGATAATCGCCGCCTCCAGCATCCAGAGCCAGATGTTGCCTCATGAATCTACGTTCAGGAATCTGTGACTCATCCCAAATCCCTCCTTCTGCTCAGCAACGATCCCTGAAGAACCTGCAGAGGATTGACAACTTGAAGGAGAGGGGGGAAAGAAACGAAAGTTGCAGGAGGATAAATCATGAAGTGCACGACGTGTAAAGGTAGGAATTAGCAGACGGACAGATGTAGATGAGTAAAGTGGGCGGAGGAGTCAAGTCCTGATGTGAGTTCACCTTCTCCACGTTTTTGGAGCAGGTTGATTGAGGGGCTCTGTCAGAGGGATGAAATGTTAAAAGCAGGGCTGAGTGAAGAGGCAAGGCAGAAAATAAACAGGAGCGATGCCAAAGGAATCAAAGTGATCCCAACATCCTGGCTGTCACTTCGCAGAGGCAGCCGGCTGCTTGTTGGGACAAGAGGCTGCGAGCGTGCAGACATCCATATGTATATGAGGCGTTCAAGTGTTGAAATCGACGGACTGCATGAGGACTTCACCTCCCTGAAGCGCCCCATCCTTGCATTTTTCTTTTTCTTTCACACGTACTCCTCAGTGACAGCACGGCTGGAAAAAGGCGAGTGCTGCTGACTGAAGTGAACTTCCCATCAGTGATATACGTTCAGTTTAGCTGAGCCTGAGAGAGGTGGAAAGGCCCTTGGGTGCAAAAGCAAAGACCTTAATATATTTTCCTGAAGCTGTTCCTCAAATAAATGCTCAAGTTTTTCCATTAAAAATGCACAATACTGCCCTCCCAACGTCAGTAGAGATAGGCAAAATCAACACAAACATAAACAACACTTTTCTTCTTTGGATATAAATGTATTTATATTCTACAATTCAAACATCACTACTTTTTCTATTAAGAAATAGAATAGGCTCACAGCTCATGTGAGTCCACCTGAGAGGTGAGCGTGGTGTTGAACGAAGTACCGTCACTACTTCGGACGATTCGCAGCTGTTCCTACAGAGACGCTGGAAAGGTAGCGTTAAATGGAACTCCGTACCAGTGGAGACATCTTCTACAAGGTAACGAGTCCCTCACTACCGAAGTGTACCGAGGTTGAGCTGGGTTCGGATGGAGGGTGCCGTTCGTTATCAACACACTTTTCCCTCATCCATTTCCTCTCCATTTAAACTCCTTCATTTTCCCATCTTTAAACTTCTATCTTGCCAGTAATCATCCAGATATTTTCAGAAATGTCTGTTGCATTTTAGTTGCAAGTGAGAAATCATGGCCGTATTGTTTCTCATTGTAAAGCTCAATAATTAAGCTGTGTTATTGCGTTCAATCAGAATAATCACGTGTACAATGTTTGATGTTAAATTTTGATTCTGTTAATAAATGACCACATTCATTTTGATGGGTCAAAGAAAATTAACGTCTCACGTCACTGATTAAACCATCTCCCACACAGTATCTCTGTCACATATCTGTCAAGTAGCTCGAAAAAGAGAGAATCCGTTTAAATTAAGTATAATATCAGGTACTTGAACTAGTCCAGATATTATAACATGTAGTGGAGCTCCGAAGCTAAATGAAGCTAACCGACCTATTTCACTACACTGCTGATTATATCATGCTGCTGTATTCATTCACATCCATCTGCTCACCACAGACTCATGTTCGGGCTGCTGTTGATACGCCATGTTATTTTACCGTATTTACCATATTTTATTAGTATTTAGCGTATAGTTTAGATCTTTTAGCGTACTGTTTAGTGTATATCTTAGATCCATGTATACTGTTTCGTTTTATACTTTATATTTTTGCTATTTTGAAGTGTAAGTGGGACCTTTGAGTACATAATTTCGTTCCACCTCATGCACATGTGATGCGACTGACAATAAACTTGACTTGAACTTGATTTCGGTTGCACCTTTAAAACAACGTTATGCACGAGTCACACTCAGCGTTTGTGTTGCGAACGACTTTCATCTACCGCCTGTCAAGATCTGTGTGTTTTGTGTTCAGATTTTCTTGTGTTTCAGTTTTTGCCCACTGCTTTTCCCTCTGTGGTTCTGCTCCCGCCTCACCTGTTCCTGTCCTCTCCAGTCCAGGGGTTTGTCATTATGTTCATTAGAGTTGCCTTCACATTCCCTGGGTCTTTATCTTCATCAGTTCTCCATTGTTCTGTCTGTCAGCTCAGCCATGTTGATTTTCATCCTTGTGGGTTTTTTTTCCAGTGTGAGATTTGTAAGTAGTTTTTTTCTGTCTTGACAGCCTTTATTTGTCTTAGGTTTCTTTTTTACGTTCCAGCCTTGAGTAGCGGTCTGCATCTTGAGCTCACCAGGAATAGGAAATCAAGTCACAAGTGTCTATGAAGTTGACTGCATTATAACGCTTTATAATTTTTAAAAGTTTTAATCAGTTTTCTGTAGCAGCGTCTTGAGTTGGGTCAAAAAGTTAATAAGTTGTATCCAGCAAAGTTAAGTCGGTTTCATTTTGTTGAAACGTTTGGTCTTCCATCTAAAAGACTTCATCAGTCCGGGGAGCGGCAACAAACTTAGTCTTGTAAATACCACCTTCTCGTAGTGGGTCAACCAGTTTGATGGTGTTAAGAAGGATTCTGGAGTCCGCCCTCTCCCCCGCCGACTCGTTTGAGGAAGCCATGGCCAAAGTGATCCATGCTCCATGATCCAGGTAGAAAACTCAAAGTTAAGTCAGTCAAGAGTCCAGAAACAATCTGAGCATCGTCAAACTGGTTGACCCACTACGAGAAGGTGCTATTTATACGACTGAGTTTGTTGTGGCTCCTCGGACTAATGAAGTCTTTAGGATGAAAGATGAAATGTTTCAACAAAAACTGTCCAGAGGACCTGACTTAACTTTGTTGGATTTTTCTACCTGGATTATTGAGCATGAATTGGGATATTTAATCAGTTGTAGATGATTAATATTCTGCAGTTTTGCGTTTATCGTCTTGGTCAAGGACCATTGATATGTGGAGGGATTTACGATCTTTCAACATGTTTCAGTGAAACTAACAGCTGAGCCACTCATCCATGCGTGACAGAGAGATCCGTTAGATCAGAAGTCAGGCAAAATCTAGCAACAACTGCAGTTCATGTCCAGACTCAATAATCTGTAATCCTCCCTGCTTTGTAATTACCTAACGAGTAATTTTAGTCGTCCTTTTTATGGATGCAGGTTGTTTCAAACTCAGTCATGGCAGTAGACTTAAATGATGAAGCTGTCAGGCTGGATTGAATTAGCAGAGCTGCTTGGATGAAAAAGTGCGGCGTGGCTCAGAGACAATGGAGGAGGCATTTAGCTAATGCAAGCTGACAAGTGTTGTAGATCAAACGGTCTGCAGAGGAGAAATCCATGATGATGCTGCACTTTCTTACCGGAGTGCTTAGTTTGTCTCCTGGAACTCTGCTCAGCTTCAGGACTTGAGGAAGCACAGCTGCACACACACACATGCATCGAGTGAACGTATTGATCTGGAGTTCTTCCTGTGGTGAGACGTGCTGATCAAAAACGCCTGCTAATCCATGAATTACACAGCGGAGGGATTTTTAAACCCGGTTTATGTAAATTAGACTACTTGAAAGAGTCTATTAAAACTAGAGAAACTGCATTTCCTGCAAAAATGCAGTGTGAACGCTTAGAAACAGCTGAAATGATCTATGAACATGCTGAAATGTAGCCAAAATTGAAAAACAAGCCTGAGTTAGCAGAAGAAAGCAGAAAGAACACGCATTTGCTAAATGAGATTGAAATAAGCAGAAATTAGCATAAAAATTAGGAAATAAGCAAAAAATGGCTGAAAAGTAGCCAAAAAGGCAGAAAGAAGCTTAAACTACCAGGAGCAGCTGAAATGAGCTAAAAATGGAGATTAGTTGAAAAAGCTAAATATAGCACAAAACAGCTAAAATGTAGCTGAAATACAGTAGCAGAAAAAGCTGAAACTAGCAGAAAAAGCAGAAAGGAGCTGAAATTAGCAGAAAGAAAGTACTTAGGCTGAAAATAGCAGAAATTTACCAAAATAATCTTAATTAATCTGAAAACATCTGAAAAATGTTAGTTATTTTACAAAGGCAGCTGAAAACGTAGAACAAGCTTAAATTAGCAGAAGAAAGCAGAAGGAACATGTTTACCCAATTAGACTGAAAGAAGCAGATTAGCAATAAAAAGTGGAAATTATCCGAAAAAAGCTGAAATTAGCAACAAACAACTGAAAGGTAGATAAACTTTCCTGAAAGAAGTTTAAATTACCAGAAGGAAATGGAGAAAGCACATTTTTGATGAATTAGGCTGAAAAAAGTTGAAATGGGTGCAAAAATTGTGGAATTAGCTGAAAAAGCTAAAA